AAGAGGCCTAGAGAAAATGGCTTAGCAGTTAAGAGCACTTGTTCTTGCAGAGGACCTGGGTTCAGCTCCCAATACCCACATGGCTAACAACCATCTGTGACTCCAATTCCAGAGGACCTGATGCCCTCTTCTGGCCTCCATGGGCCACTTACATACATGCAGGCAAATACTCATACACATAAAATTAAAATAATATTTTCGAGACAGAGTCTTCCTGTAGTCCCAGCTGGTCTGGAACTCACTATATAGACAAGGCTGGCCTCAAACATCCAGAGATCTGTGATTTGTGTGTTTCTGCCTCTTGAGTACTAGGACCAAAGGCATGCACCACCACACCTGGCAATAAAAATTGTTTTATTTAAAAAAGAAAGAATGGGCCAGGCGTGGTGGCGCACGCCTTTAATCCCAACACTCGGGAGGCAGAGGCAGGTGGATCTTTGAGTTTGAGGCCAGCATGGTCTATATAATGAGTTCCAGGACAGCTGGGGCTACAGAGAGAACCTGTCTCAAAAACAAAACTAAAACAAAACAAAAAAAGAATGGGGCTGGAGAGATGGCAGTTAAGAGCACTGACTGCTTTTGCAGAGGACCCGGGTTCGATTCCCAGCACCCACATGGCAGCCATGAACCATCCTTAACTCCAGGTCCAGGGGAATCCAAAGTACTGCACTACACGGGTACACTCACATACATGCAGGCAATACACTCGTACACATAAAATATTTAAAAAGATAAAATAGAAGCATGGCACATTAGCACACACCTTTAGTCCCAGCACTCAGGAGGCAGAGGCAGGCAGATCTCTTGAGACTGAGGCTGTCTTGATCTACATAGTAATACCCTTTCTCACAAAAACAGAGGCAGGGTAGGGGGTGGGGAGGTCTGATGAAGTGGTGAAATGTACTCATCTGTTAGAACCTGTTAGAACCTGTCCTGGGTTGTAAATTAAGCTCACCCATCATCTGTGCCACAGAGCCTTCCTTGAGTGCCTCAAACCAAAGATGCTTTCCTCTAGAGGGTCACATTTTGGGTTTTTGGTTTGGTTTTTGTTTTTTGAGACAGGGTCTCATATAGACCAGGTCTGCTTGAACTCATTATGTAGCCAAGGAGGACTTTAAATTTCTGATCCTCTTGCCTTTACCTCCCAAGTGCTGGGATTATGAGTGTGCACTACCACACCTGGTTTTTGCAGTGCTGGGAATCAAACCCATGGCTTTGTGTATGCTAGGTAAATATTCTACCAACTGAGGTAAATCTCCATACTGCATTTTTTTTTTTTAGTTGTTTTATTTGTGTGTCTGGGTAAGTGTATATGCACTAGAGGGGTGGATTGTACATGCCTTTGCATACAGTCCCTTGGCATTTGTGGGATGTTAGCTTACTACATGGCTGCTGGGATCCAAACTCTGGTCCTCATGATTATGCAATAAGTGCTCTTAACTGCTGAACCATCTCTCTAGCAGCTCCCCAACCCCAATTTTCTTTTAATGATTGTTCTTTCTGCACCTAGTCTTTTGAGACAGATGAGTAATGAAAAGGAGCCCTTAGCTCATAATAGGGACTCCTGAATCCTAATCCCAACTTTAGCTTTGTGGGCTTTTCACTCTGGACTCCTGTCCCCATACCTGTTTTATTTTTTGTCATGGTGTCTATCACTACCTGACTTTATATCATACAGATGGGTAGGAAGGTTGGGGACTTTTTTGATGATAGAGACTCAATCCAGGGCTTCGCCCTTGCTAAGCATACCCTCTACCACCAAACTATACTGCCTGCCCAAGGGGTGGATTTTGCCTGTTTTGTTAGTTCCTTTCTCCCTAGTATCTAGAACAGTGCCTGGCCTATAGCAAGTGCTCAGTAAAATTTTGCATTCTTTAATGGCACTTGCCAGTTTAGAGCCCAGGACTTATCCCAAGTCAGAATCATTTCTGGTCTGTAAGTACCATGGAGCCTAGGCTCATTAGCTCTTCAGCTTATGTGGTTTTGCTCTGTGGTATCAGGTATAGGAAAAAACATGATTCCAAGATCTGAGCATCCTGCCTGATGACAGTGGTGCAGGCTCAGCTGGATCTAAACTCCAGCTAGCACTTCTCTGAGGTAAATGGAGGGAAGCTATCACCCAGTCTGGATGGTGCTGGAGTGGACAGCAAGCCCAGTGAGCAGGAAATAACATTCCTTCTCCCTTGTCTTCCAGGTGACTCTGAATAATGTGGAAGTCTGCAGTGAAAACATCTCCACTCTGAAGAAGACTCTGGAGGTACAAGGGAAATTGTCTGTCAGTTTTTAGTAGCTATAACCACCATTTTTGAGAAAATGCACTGAACACCTGTCCTGGTGGCAACTGGAGCATTCCCTGACATAGAGCCACACTTGCAGGAACTTAGTGGTGATTGACCAAGTAGCAAAGGGTCTTTGGGCCTGCTGGGAGAGCTCTGGCCCAGGAGTTAGAAAATCCTTCAGCACATACTTGGTATGTAACTATGGCTAAAAAACTGTGGCTCTGTGCAGTGATGAGGAGCAAGCACCCTGGAGACAGATGCCTCAGCTAGAATCCCAGCTCCACATCATACTGTACTGATTTGGAAAAGTTATTAAATGCTGTGTGCTTCAGGGACTCATCTGTGCAACAGGGATAATAGTACTGTTTCATAGGGAAAGTACTTTTTTTTAAGTTCAGAGTTTTTGTTTTGTTTTGGGGTGAGTGTGTGTGTGTGTGTATGTGTGTTGGATACACATGCCACAGTACACATCAGTTCAAGTACTTTTTTTTAAGTTCAGAGTTTTTGTTTGTTTTGTTTTGGGGTGAGTGTGTGTGTGTGTATGTGTGTTGGATACACATGCCACAGTACACATCAGTTCTCTCCTTCCACCTTTATGTGGGTTCCAGGGATTGAATGCTAGGCTTATTCAGCAAGCACCTTCAGCTGCTGAGCCATCTTGCCAGTCCCACAAGACCAAAACATGTAAGGAGCAGACACTACGCAGGAATAGGGAGTGTCTCCTTAGTGCCTGCTGTGTGCCGTCATCTATACAACTCACATCCATCAAGGGAACAGGCCTCTGTGTTCCCTTTTTATAGACAGGGAGATTGAAGCCTGGCAAAAAATTGCCTGAGGTTACTCAGAACACATGACTGAACTAGGACTTGAACCTAGAAATGTTAGTCCTAAAGGTATAAAAAAACACTACAATCTGTGTTTCTTATTCTCTTCCTCTTCCTCAACATTGTTATCCCCATATTAGAAAGGGGGAGGTGGGAGCCAAGTGGAGAGCCACTAGTATAGAACCTTTGTAGAAAAGTCTAGGAAAGGAAGCATTTGCATATTGGACTTCTTTGCCTCTGCTCACATTCCAATGGCATAAGCATGGTTTGTTTCTAAAGCCATATTTTCCCCTAGAGTGACTGTACCAAGCTATTCAGTCAAGGCATTGGAGGGGATCAGGCCCAGGCCAAGTTTGACAGCTGCCTTTCTGACTTGGCTGCTGTGTCCAACAAATTTCGAGACCTCTTGCAGGTAAGCCCAAGGTTCGACTGCTGTAGATCCTGCACCTGTGGGCTGCTTTGAGAAAACTGTTTGCTGGCTTACTGTGGGCTCCACTGTATACAGGGAAACAGGGAAGGAAGCGGGAGAGGGTAGCATGCAAGTCTCCAAAGGTATTTGAATCCCTTGACACTAAAAGCCCCATTACTGTTTAAGCCACATCAACAACATCATCTATTCTTCTAGAATCTCCAAAATGATAATAGCACTCAAAAAGATGTTCAGAGATGAACAGTGGTTCATCTTGATCTTAGTGGTTCAGTGATGCTTGATCTTAGCCACAGGTGCTGCCCAGCATTAGACAATATGAACTCACCTTGTGAAATTTTATTAAGACAACCTCAGGGCTTTGTTTCTGGACCTGAATCTGCACAGATGTGGAAGGGATAATTTCCTGGCTTTTATTATCATGACCTCCACTATGCTTACCATAGGGTGAGAGACTCAGCTGTAGGAGTACCCTTTAGTCAAGGGAGGGATGGAAGCAAAGGGCAAGGAGTGTGGGGGGTTGGGGGGGAACGACATGTGTCTGATGTGTGTCTGCCCTGTCCTGGTATAGGAAGGACTGACAGAGCTCAACAGCACAGCAGTCAAGCCGCAGGTGCAGCCTTGGATCAACAACTTTCTCTCTGTCTCCCACAACATCGAGGAGGTCAGCCTGACCATAACAGCCAAAAGACAGTGAATCATCTGAATGGACTAGACCTAATATGCTGCTATCCCCTATCCAGCTCCATCAAAGACTAGATTCCTCCAGGGAAGAAGCTTGTTCCTGTAGCCAGTGACTCAGAGACTGTGAAGGGACTTCGCCTTCACATGACTCATCCCTTATAGGAGGCCCATTTTGCCCCACTTTTCATAGACCTAGGAGCTTTCTTTTTCTAGCCTAGTTATTTCACTCCTGTAAAACATGAGCCATGGGAGGGATTCGAACCTTGCCTCAGTGTGGACCACATCTGAATTCCAGAGTTGTTTGTTGGCTGGATGTGAGATGCAACAAGCAGTCTGCCAGCTTGAGGCTCAAGCTGTTTTTCTAGATTTTGTTTTATTTTGGTTTCTGAAGGGGGAGATACTTTTTCATTCATTTTTTTAGTTTTTTTCAGACAAACTCTTCAGACTCTTGTCTCACTATGTAGCCCAGGATGGCCTCAAATTTATGATAATCTTCCTGCCTCAACATCTTTGAGATTACAGATGGGAGCCACCTTGCCCACACAAGCTGGTTTTAAACTGGAGGAGTCAGAAGCTATGGGGAGAAGGACCTCTTCTATCATTTGCTTAAAGGGGTAGAGGTGGGTTACGGGTGAATACCACATCTTAGAAAGAGGCCCTTAGCAACTGCCACTTCCTTCCGGACAATAGGTAGAGTTCAACAACTATGAGGCCAATGACCCTTGGGTACAGCAGTTCATCCTCAACCTGGAGCAGCAGATGGCAGAGTTCAAGGTAAGGGGGATGCTTATGTAATTACCCATTCTACCCATACCAGCAGCCTGTAGCTTCTGCTATAGCCCACAGAAGCTCTATTGTGGAAGCACTGTTCCTTCCCATAACAGACCCTTCCCCATGAAGACTTGGGGGTGGAGGCAGAAGGGCTAGACAGACTCCTACTGATATCAAGCCTCTATCTAGGCCAACCTGTCCCCAGTCATCTATGACAGCCTGACCGGCCTCATGACCAGCCTTGTTGCGGTTGAGTTAGAGAAAGTGGTGCTGAAGTCTGCCTTCAACCGGGTAAGATCAAAGGGGCATGACCCACAGGTCTCTTCTGAGATAAGTCGTGCCACCCCAGAACTTCTGTCCTCTCACATCACACATATCTGGGCCCAGTTCTCTCTAGCTTTTGAGGCACTAGAACAGACTAGAGCCATAGGCCCAGCTGGTCTTGCCTCCCAGTTTCTTACTGTTTGGGGGGGTGTTAATTCTTCTTTTAAATGTATTTGTTTGTTTTGTTTTTTATTTCATGTGTATAAGTGTATTGCCTGCATGTACATGAGTGCACCCGTGTTGTGCAATGCCATGGAGGTCAGAAGAGGGTTTCAGATTCCCCTGGAACTAGAGTTAAGGACGGTTCGTAGCTGCCATGTGGGTGCTGGGAATCAAATCCAGGTCTTCTGCAGTCAGTGCTCTTAACCTCTGAGCCATCCCTCCAGCCCCATGTTTCTTTGTTTTGAGGTAGGCACATGTCATGGCATGTATGTGAGGTCAGAGGACAACTTGGAGTTTTGCTGGCTCTCTCCTTCTACTCATATGGGTTCTAGAGATTGAACCCAGGTCATGAGGCTTGGTGGCAAGCACCTTTACCTGCTGAGTCATCTCCCTAGTCTTTTCCTCCCAGTTCTGAGGGCAATTGGATGCTAGTTCCGCTTGGTCACAGGGCCAGAATTTAAAAAGAAACAATGTTTATATTCTCCTACAGCTGGGCGGTCTGCAATTTGACAAGGAGCTGAGGTCACTCATTGCTTACCTTACCACAGTGACAACCTGGACTATCCGAGACAAGTTTGCCCGGCTTTCCCAAATGGCCACGATCCTCAATCTGGAGCGGGTATGTGGGACTCCTTCAGCCTAGCCAGGGAAAAGTGACTGGAAACGGGCAAAGGCAACATGTGGAGCCCTGCCACCCCTTCACGTGCTAGCAGCCCAGCTCTGCAAGGCACCTTCTTCTTCCCAAGTACCCATGGTCTGCCTTAGTAAAGCCTAGGATTTCCCTCAGGATAGCTTCAACCCTGCTGATTGGGTTATCCTTCCCCACAGGTGACTGAGATCCTAGATTACTGGGGTGCCAACTCTGGCCCTTTGACATGGCGCCTTACGCCTGCTGAAGTGCGCCAGGTGCTGGCTCTGCGCAAAGACTTCCGAAGCGAGGACATCAAGAGGTTGCGTCTATAACTGCCATGTGGTGCCATGTGGCCCACCAGACTTCATGACCTGTTTTCTGAGTAGCCACAGCCAAAGAGCTGAAGGCTGTCTGGCTTGGGTTAGCCCAGACTATGCCATTGCTGACAGCCAGGAAACAAGATCTGGTCCCACCCCAAAGTCCTGCCCAGTAGCTGAAGTGGCTGGAGGCAAGCATAGGGTACTTTAGGACAGCCTTTACGAACTGGGAGAGGTAGGAGACCAAGAACCAGCATGTGGCCCAGCCAGCCTTCCACATGGGGTCATTCTCTGACCTTCACACTGCAGCACTCATGCTGCCCCTGCCAGCCGTAGAGAACTTGAGTCCATCTGGGGACTTGGGAATTGGGTTTGACTTCAAGGAGAAGCTGTGATATTTACAAATAAACATCAGGACAGACACTACTTGGAGAGATGCCATTGTGCTGGGTCCAGGGAGAGCTGCTGCTCAGGCAGAATGGTCTGTCAATGGCACTGAAACACAAAGTCAAATGCCTGAGGCCTTAGCCTCCCTCATCCAGGGAAGCACTCAGCCACTCCTGGATGTCACCCCTCTCCTGGGCTGTCAGCACCAGGAACTGACATTCTGGGGACAGCTTTCCAGTGCCAGAAGTGGGAATTGCTCCCAGCAAGAATAAGAAAGCTTTCCAAAGACAACTTTGAAGTATAAAGAGAATTTATTCCAAGATTGTGAGTGTTGAGAACTCATTGCCCACAGGGTCACTTATTCTCTAGTGCTGCTGAGAAGGGCCTGGATTGGCAGGCACTTCTGTAGGACTGTAATGGTTCATTGTCACAGACCTAAGAATGACGTTCCACCCTCTCTTCACTGTAGGGAACCTAAGGAGCAAAGGTTGAGCATGGGGTCTACACCACTGAGGTGGGCCTGGAAATGCCTCACAGGTTAGCTGTAGGGTTGGCCTTACTTATAACACAGTCCCCCCCAAGCCATCTGCTATAGCTGATCATCATGCCTTTCCAGGGCCCTAATGGGCCTACACTGGCCATTGTGATTTGTAAAGGTCACATGGGACATTGTCCTTAGGACCTTCCCCACTCAAGATGGAGTAGAAGCCAAGTCTTAGTCACTGTCAATCATGCAGTACAGTCCTGTTCCCAAACACTGCCTCACTTGCTGAGTCTTCCTTCCTTTGGGAGCAGACTCAAAGAGGTAGGTGAGGCATAGGACCTCCATTGAAGAAAGGAAACACGGCTGTAGCTATAGGTATTGCGTGCTTCAGGGCGCCCTGCCCCACAAAGACTGGTGTTAGGTAGAAGACTGCCTTCCCATCAGCTGCAGGCTGAGGCCCTGCATATCTACTTCTACCAGGTGGATGCTGTAGTTGCCAAGACCCTGGAGAGGACAGAAGGTGTTCAGAGGACTTTGGACAACTCTCAGGTCTTCTGGAAGCTAGGCTGAGGCAGCAGGACCAGGACACGTGACTTAGTAGGCCACAGTGAGGTATTTCAATCCAGCCCACTTCCAACCCTGACATTAGCACATACCTCAGCTTTGGCCAGCACAGCTTCCAGAGCCTCTTTTTGCTGTGGTTCCTTGGTCAACAGATAGAGAAAGCCCCCTCCGCCTGCTCCTGCCAGGCTTTGGCCATACACGTGAGGGGCCAGAACATCCATCATTCGCTGCACAGCCAGTGGTTCACAGCCTGGAGCCATGAGTTTCTTCTGCTCCCAATATGAGGTCAGATACTGGCCCAGCAGAGGCAGATTTCCTAGGGTCAGGACAGGGAATGGTCACAGTTTCAGAGCTAACCCTGGTTCAGTGCTGGGTAGAAGCAGGATTGGAAGCACCCAGGTACACAGGGTTGAGACTTATAGGCATAAAGCCAGCTGGCATGGTGCCCAGCCCAGTCAGTATCCAGAAAACTATAGCCTTACCCTTGGGGCTGTGCATAGCTCCCACATCCCTGCAACTCAGGCAAGGCGGAGCCTCCTCTATGTGTTTCCTGACAGGAGGACCTTTTCTATGAGGCAAGTTTTTGTCTTGAGATAGAGCTCCTACCAGTAATAAAAACAGAAGGTCCCCAGGGGCCTAACATGCTAGTCTGTGAAGCCTACAAAGGCTCCTGGCCACTAAGACCCACAAGTAACAACTTCCAGATGGATAAATACCTCACCTTGGCGGAAGGCTTCAGCACACTCCTCAGTCTGTTGTACCAGGCTTCGGGCATTCTGCACCACAGCAGGCAACCGAGCATACCAGTTCCTCAGCACATCCTGCACATGGGGCAGGGGAATTACAGTGAGGATCAGGTCCAGCTAAGCAACTGCCTCCCTTATTTTGGGACTCAGCTCACCTGCAACAGATTCCTTGCCAGGCGGGTCTTGCCGGTGTATACTAGGAGCAGGTGCTCATTGAGCTTCTGGACAAAGCCCTCGGGCACAGTGATCTCTTCCACTTCCACCTTTAGAGGCAGCTGGGCCTGGGAGCGCCCCACCTTGATGCCAGGCATTAGGCCACTCACTTGGTCCTGCCAGCCGCCTCCTACAAGCCCAGGGTCCTGTCACTGCTGAGCCTACCTGACTCCACTTCTGCAGCCTACGCTCATAGCCCTGCACCCCTGGTTGGGACCAGAAGACAGCTTGTCCCAACTCTAGCTGAGACCTTTGAACTATGACATCAGGCCAGTCCCAGCAACAGAGAGGGACTGCAGTCTGGACCCAAGTTTAGGATTCACAGGATCCAAGTTCTACTGCAGACCTAATATGGAATTGGAATTGGGATAAAGCACATCAGAAGAGGCTTGCACACTATCCCTCCCATCTATGGGATTTGCAGCCCAGAAGGAATAGGACTTCTCTGTTGTCTGTCAGTGCTCTGCACCCTGTATTCTAGGAATATGTTGAAAATAAGCTTTTCAGCACTTCGTTTTTCTTGCTTAATTTGAAAGAAATGTGTACGTCTTTAATAATGAAAGATACGGATTTTTCCCCTTATAGTTACATAAAAATGATGAAGCAGCTGAGTATGGTGATGCACAACTGTAATCTTAGCACTCAGGAGGCTGAAGCAGACAGGTTGCCACAAGTTTGAAGCCAGTATGGACTACAGTGTGAGACCCTGCCTCAGAAAAACAAATAAGGGACTAGAGAGATGGCTCAGCAGTTAATAGCACCAGCTGCTCTTGCAGAAGAACCAGGTTTGATTCCCAGCACCCATAACTCCAGTTCCAGGGGATCTGACACCATCTTCTGACCTCCGTGGGTATTGTGTGCACACTTACATACATACAGGTATTATTACACTTATATACATAAAAATAAAAAATAATAAAATATTTTTAAAAAATAAATATAAACAGGCTGAGGAGGCAGGTCAATAGTACAAATTCCCTATCCCCCATAGATTTGCAGCCAGAGGAGCGGAAATAAGACTTCCCTGTGATCTGCCAGTCTCCTGGCATCCTGTCTTCTGAAAGTGTTTATGTTGAAAATAAGCTCAAGACCCTAGCATACATGAGGCTGGATTTGAGCTCCAGTACTGCAAATAATACATAAATTTGATAAAGTTTGAGCAGCTTTTGGAACAGTCTCTTGATATTTTGGGCAAGGAGGGAGGAAAGCATATGCATGTATATGCATGTATGTATGTCAGTGGGTGTACACACCCCATGCACGTGTGTGGAGGCCAGAGGCTATTTTTATAATATTTTTATTTTATTTTATGTATATGACTGTTTTGCCTGCATGAACATATGTGCACTATGTGCAATCCTAGTATCCACACAGGCCAGAAGAGGGAGTCAGATCTCCCAGAACTGGAATTATGGACAGTTGTGAGCTGCCATATGGGTACTAGAAACCAAACCTGGGTCCTCTGGAAGAGCAAGAAGCATCTTGACCACTGAGCCACCTCTCCAGCCCCCACACCCAGCTTTTGACGTAGGTGCTGGGGATCTGAGGTCAGGTCAGCAAGCATTCTACCCACTGAGGCATCACTCCAGCCCCCAATTCTTCAATATTTAAGATCTAGACTGCAAGACTCTTAAAGAATGCAAATGGCAAGAAGTATCTGAAATCTTAAAGCCACAATATAAGACAGAGCTGGTAATGTCAACTCCTTAATTGCACCCTCTCTTTCAGAGTTTGAAATGATACATTCATTGAGGCCACCCTGGTTCACATGGTGCCTTCCAGGCAGGCTGTGACTAGGGAGACCCTGTCAAAAAACAATCAAGGAAGGGGGGAGGGGAGGGGAAGGGGAAATAATACATTCATCTGAGTTGCTCCTTATTACTGCCTTACCTCCCTTATGGCCTGACTTTTGAGGGTAAAGACATTTTTTGCTTAATTCATCCCTAGGCCATAATGGTGCCAAGGTACCAGAATGGCCAGGAGGAGAAGCCTGGTGCCAGCAACAGCTCAGATCGTTGCCTTGGCTGGGCCCCTGCTGTTGCACAATATGGGAACAGTAGGGGTAGAAATGTTCATAGCCCAAAAGAGAGACAATTTGTCAGAAAGGCATACTGAAGATCCATCCCTTACTCCAAACCCAGCTCTGCCCCACAGGCTCTGAGGAACAGCCTGGAGAGGGGCAGTCATGAAGACTATCATCTGTCACCAACAGGTACTCAGTAACAAAAAAAAAAAGAAAGAAATAGGTTCTCATCGTCATCAACTCTCTCATGAGGCAAAGCATTTAAGTTGAAATCCATCAGAAATCAAAGGGATAAGAAGGAAACTGACCATTTTAAGGAGCAATACAGTTATGTGTGTACTGGCAAATAGGAGGGGGCTGGAGAGATCTCAGCAGTTAAGAGCACTGGCTGCTTCTGCAGAGGACCTGGATTCCGTTTTTAGCACCCACATGGTGGCTCCAACAACTGTCTCTAACTCACGTTTCAAGGGACTCAACATCCTCTTCTGGCCTCTGTGGGCATTACATACACATGGTACACATACATACATACAAGCAAAACATCCATACACAGTAAATAAAAAATCTTTTTTTTAAAATAAAAAGGAAAAAAATCTAGAGAACCACCCCCCAAGATCTATGGAAAATGCCAGAGTTCTCCACCCACCCTGGGCCATCATATTACCTGTGGTAAGCACCTGCTCCAGATGCAGCACTGCATGGATAAGGGCCGTTGTGCCCACTGCTTGGCCTGCAGCCCGCTGTAAGGCAGCCAGAGCAGCCCCTGCCAGGATACTACTGGTGCCTACAGGGTACACAGAGGGTACCAGGCATGAAACATCTCTGCTCAGACCAGTCCCACACTCTTTCTGCTGCGTGGGGGGCCAGGGACCAGGATCTCAAGAGAGACTAAAGAGCTGGGACAGAAGGTGAATAACAGCCAGCCATGGTAGCACACGCCTTTAATCCCAGCACTCGGGAGGCAGAGGCTGGTGGATCTCTGTGAGTTCGAGGCCAGCGTGGTCTACGTAGTGCATTCCAGACCAGCGGGGGCTACAGGAAAACAAGGTCTCAAAAAGAGCCCCCCCCCCAAAAAAAGGTGGGCAGCAAGGGGCCAGGGCCTGCTCACCAAGACCAGAACCATGGGGCAGCTCTGACCAGGTGTGAAGTTCAAAGCCACCCTCAAAGGAGTGTAGCAGCTGTTCATGCAGAGGGAGCTCTGAACCGACATTCACGATCCCTGCACAGATAAAGGCTGCCTTCAGCAGGGCTCCTAAGAAATGGGCACAAAGCAAGGAATTTAGACTCCTAGGCCACTACTTGGACCACCTCTCCTGCAACTTCCCAGCCCAGAATGGGGCTCTTTTGGTAGAATAAAAATTCAGCTGCAATGCAGGCAGGCCCTATCCTCGAGCCACAAAAGGGCATCTAAGCTCCCTAACATAGGCAAATGTGTCATCTCTGTCCTATGCCTGTATCTAGGCTGGGTGACTTCCAGCCCTTTCTTTTTCTGCAGGGCTCCTCAACTGTACTGGCTAGCCCTCTGGCATGGAACCTAGAGCCTGCAGTCCTCTAGATGGATCTCCAGGTTCTGACCCCATCCCCACTTACAGATGTCCTGAGTTGCTCTGACCTGGAGCATGAGGCTGGCAGTAATCTTGCAGGTCATCTAGGCTCCGGCATACTATCTTCATGGTCATCTCATCTTGTCGAGGTCCCACTGCCAGCCGTAGCTCAGGCTCCAGAATACGGCGTGCCCTGGCCCCAATGGGCCGGCGGCCATCCACTCGAACAGCCAAGCCCAGTACTGCCCCACCAAGCTCATATGCAATGGGTGGTGTGTCACTCCAGCCCCCTATGGAAGTTCAACAAGGTGGTCACAGAGCCTGCCAACCTGGCCCTGAGGTGGTTACCCACACCCTCATCCCAAGGGACTCACCAGAGAAATCCACACGGGCTGGGCATTCAGTTACCACCCACTGCCCAATAGCTGGCATCTCTACTGTCTCAGTAGAGACAAAGTGCTGGGCTGTCATCACAGCCTGGCGGATCAGGATCTGCTCAGCCCCCTCATAATGGCGGGCAGCTCGTACCAGCAAGGCTGGCCTGACAGGAGGGAAGAGAGATGGTAGCATGAAGCCCCAAGCTGGGGGCAGATTGCCTGGGCATGGTCAGCTTGAATGTCCTGGGTGACATAGGCTTCCACTATCAGGAGATACTTCCCCAATGGCTTCTCAATAGGTTCTAACTTTAACACCCACCTGCTCAGCCACTTGTTCCTCTCCTGGGCAAGTGCCTCCACACCCCTCACCAGGTCGCCACACTCCAAGAATGAGAAGGGCCGCATCCACTCAGGGTTGGCAGCTGGCCCACTCCGCAAGCCTCCTCGGCCCTCTGCCATGCAGCCCAGCACATCTGCCACACAAGCTAGAGCCCGGGCTGCCACACCAGGGTCTTTCGCCCCAGCTGCAACTGAGGGACCAGGAATTGTATGTGGAAGAGAAGGCTGTCAGCCTCCAACACTCTCTGCCCCCAAACAATTTTAACAGTCTCCAAACACTCCAGATTTCTCACTCAACTACCAGCTTTTGCCTGTGAATGTACCCTACTCACGGCCTGGCCAAGTTTTTATCCTGCAAGCCCCAGCTCAAATATGCCCTTCCACTCCTATGTGAGACATTAAAGTAGTTAAAGAGCTTAGGCTTGGCCAGAGAGATAACTCAGGGTAAATGCCCTTGCCTCCAAGCTTGAGGACCTAAGTTCAATCCTTGGGACCAACATGGTGGAAGGAGAGACTGACTCCCATAAGTTGTCCTCTAACCTCCACATGCAAGTGATAATACACACATACACACCACCTGGGTTCAAGTTTCAATCTCAACTAGCTGTGTAGCTATGGGTAAGTGACTTAAACAGGAATGTTTGCAAAGTTCCAATTTTCTTCAGGGTCACTAATGAGGTACTGTCTCTGAGGCTAAGACTCTGCTCCCAGGCAGTTTGGTAACACTGTGTATATGTACCTGGTTGCTAGAGCTCTGCACCACCCCCTATCCTGGCGTTTGGTGTGGGATATATAAGTAGTTTGAGGATGCTATGATGATCCAGAGGCTTAGCAGCCAGGCCCAACCTCCAACTAAAAGCCTTGCTAACAGGATGAAGCTTTCTAGAAACTTAAACTCCAGTGTCTCCCCTATCTTAGAGTTGCATGAATCCCTATTCCTTTGAGTTGATGGCTCGGAGGGCAGGTGGGGCAGGTGTCCCTAATCCAACTCCCTAATACTAACACTCAGCACACTCACCCTTGTCCAGTATAGCCAGCAAGGGCCCAGGGCAACCCTCATGGACAGCGGCCTGGATCAGTGGGCGTAAACAAAGGTCCTGCCGGGCCTCCAGCACATGTCGTGCCTTCTGCAGGGCCTGGAAGAAGAAAAGGTCCCGACGGGAGTCCAGTGTGGCGGCCCGGTCTAGGCAAGGCTGCAGCTGCTCCCAGGACAGGCGCCAGGAGGCTCTCCAGGCCCGCTGGACCTCACCCCCATCTTCCTGGGGTTGCAGCATCCACAGCATGTCCCCTGGTCCCAGGGCTCTCAAGGGGTGGCACACAGGAAAAAGACGGGCATTGAGAAGACATCTCTCTGAAGAGGGTATATCTGGGTCCCACAGGTCCCAGTCTCTGAGGAGCAGAGAGGTATATTAGCAGGAAGGAAGTCAAAGTTTCTGCCCCTTTCTCAAGCCCTGACTCATCTGCCAACTCATGGGGACAGGACATACTCCCCATGGTAACACTAGTGTTCCAACAGGGAGGGAGGCTATGCTGCCTTGTTACCTTGCCCAAGTCCCAAAATAAAAAAAAATCTCAAAGTCTTACTGGGCATAGTGGCATGTGCCTTTAATCTCAGCACTCAGGAGGCAGAGGCAGGCAAATCTCTATGAGATCAAGGCCAGCCTGGTCTACAAAGTGAGTTCAGGCCAGCTGGGGCTACAGGGAGACCTTGTCTGAAAGAGACAGATAAAAAAAAATCCTGAAGTCTGAACACAGCATAGCCAGATTTAGAGCTGCCCAGGAGGAAAGTACTAGAGATAATCTAGCTGATCCAAATTACTCCAGACCTAGTAGGATGGTAAAGGAACTGGAGTGGGCTGCTCAGAGACAAGAGAAGGAACAAGGTTCAAAGAAGCAGCCACATTAGCTGCCTAGGCCCACAGAGGCCCACTGGGGCATTCAGCTTACTTACCGAATGCCTGTCTTCTTGAAGAATTCACTCCAGGACATGTTGAGATAGGTGCCTGCCCCTTGTCTCTGGGGGAACAGGAGGAAGCTGTCAGAGATGCAGGGGCCCAGGGAAGAGACTAAGAACCGTTCCAACAGGGAGTGGAAGAGAGACACATATATACAGGAACAGTTTCTTTTAAACCACCTTATTGCTTCTGCCCAAGTACCTGAGACTTACAGCAGAATCCTGATTATAAGCCCGGTAGGTACTTTGGGACCCAAGGCAATACATCGCTTTCTCTAAACCTCTAGATCCAGCCTCTAACACGGAGATAAAAATCCCTACCCAGCCCACCTGGAAGAGATGAGAGGCAGGAGGCAAAGGCTTAAGAAGACTCTTGGCCACACCTTTCCACAGCCAATCCCTCAGGTCAGTGCTCAGAGACCTGTATGATTAGGTGGAGCCAGACCCCTGGTGCTCTACAAAGTTTGAAGATGGAGGTAAAGGGATGTGAGGTAAATGCCTACATCCCAGCTGTCCAGACGGCCAACAAGAGTGAAGATGCGGCTCAGAGAGCCATGTAGGCGCACATGGTGTCCCTGCAGGACAAGGTCATGGAGCTCCAGGCCATGTAGTGCCTCAGACTGGGCTGTGTCCAGGCCGTTCACAAAGCAGCCAGCACCAATGTGAATGGGGCCCTGGAGGGAAGGGGGCAGGCATCTTCAGGGGCCCGATAGCCAGTACTCCAAACAAATGCAAACAAATGCAGAGCACTGCCACCCCCACTTGCCTCCCCTACCCACCCTGCACCCATGCTGTCAGGCCTCACCCGCAGGTGGCAGTGCTGCAGCACACTCCGAGGCCCCAGGTGCACAGGGCCCTCCAGCAAGCAGCTAACCACAGAACATGAAGCCTCCAGGAGCTGTGGTTCCTGTAAAGCCAGGAAGGAAAATCAGGAAGGCAGAAAGTCAAGGACCAGGAGCCAGGGACTCCCCTAATTCTCCCTTGAAACCAAGTATTTGGGGAGCACCAACATGCACTGTTCTCTGGGTACTTCAGACAGCCAGATCCCCTTCTGGACCTGCCCTCACCACAGTCAAAGGACTTTCCCCCTCCTACCTAAATCCAGCTACCCCCCTTCCCAAAGCCACCGTAACTCCATCTGCCCCATCCCTTAAAACCACAGCACTAACCTAAGCTCAAATGTGCCTATCTCCCCAAACAGACCCTGTAGAAAGATCTCCTTGAACTTCTGACTTGGTTACTTTCTGGCTCTGTGGCCTTGAGTAATTTTCTTACCCTCTCTGAGCCTCTAGTATCTTATGTATAAAATGGAGATAACTGGGAGATATAACCCATGCCTGTAATCCCAGCACTTGGGAGGTGGAACCAGAAAGATTAAAAGTTCAAGGTTATCCTTGCTACATAGCAAGTCTGAGGCAAGCCTGGGCTACCTGAGACCCTGCCTCAAAAAACAGGTAGGTCAATAAAATAAATAAATAAATTAGAGATAATGCCTAAACTCATTGGTAAACTGTTCCAAGTATGAACTCTTTCTTCTGAAGCCCAAATCTCATCTGACCCCAAGTACCCAACAGGCACCTGTTGAGAGGCAGGCAGGTCTCACCTCCACCTGGGAGTGGATGATCTGGGCCCCAGGGACCCCAGGCACCATGAGACTATTCAAGAATTCACTGGCATTAGCAGTCATGTAGCTGTAGGTGCCATCAGGGATATACACTGTAAAAACACAAGTATTGACCTAAGGGACTGGAGAAATGGTTCAGTGGTTAAGAGTGCATACTATTCTTGCTGAGGACCCAAGTTCAGTTCCTAGCACACATATCAGGCAGTTCACAACCACCTATATCTCCAGCTCCAAGGGCTCCAACACCCTCTTCTGGACTCTGCAGGCAACTGCACTTGTGTACATACCCACAGAGACAGACAGACAGACAGACACACACACACACACACACACACATTTTTAAAAGGGGCTGGAGAGATGGCTCAGCAGTTAAGAACACTGGCTGCTCTTGCAGAGGACCCGGGTTCGATTCCCAGCACCCACATGGCGGCTACAAACCATCCTTAACTCCAGTTCCACGGGCATCCGAAGCCCTCCTCTGACTTCCGCGGCATTGCACGACATGGGTGCACTCATATACATGCAGGCAATACTCTCATACACATAAAATAAAAATAATAAATAAAAAATATTAAAAAAATATTGTTAAATTAAAAAAATAAACCTTAAAAAAAAAAAGTATTGACCAACCCCATGCCTGTTGCAGTTCCAGGACTAGGCCAAGGCCCCGCCAACAGACATCCTCACAAGGCATTAGGAAGGAGGCGTGAGGATGAGCCTGTTGGGCCAATGGAAAAGCTGAGGTCCACAGGGTATGCAACCTGCTCTGGCCCTACAGCTAGCAGGTGGTCAGACTGGGACAAGGAGCCAAAGAGACACAATGAAGATAAAGAACAGAAGCATCTTGGCAGGAGAGCTCTAGATGAGGAGAGGGAAACTGTCTAGTCCATGAGCTGAGCTGCCTTGCCCACAGTACAAGGGGCAGCTTCCTCCCTACTTCAGAGGCCCAAAAAGCAATACTCACCCATAGTAAGAGGCTGATTTCGCAACTCTCTCCACAGCTGTGCTCGGGCACCCTTCAGATAACCTGTTATATCCATGTCACCTTGTCCCATCTCTGGGGACCGACCAGTCAGGAAGTCTTCCCGGCTCACATTCCGAGCCATGGAGAGCAGGATGTCGAAAAACAAAGACAGCTGGGTGAGGGTAAGAAGCCTAGCTATTGGTAGGGCAGCAGCTAGGCCCCACAATCCTGAGGCTGAGCTGGAACAATCTCATCTGCAGAGATGCCGACCCAGAGAGGGGAAAGGGCTGGCCTGAAATCACACAGCATCTCACCCATCAGGTGGCCCTGGGAGCCCTCCTCTAGTTACCTGGACAGGCTGGGCTCCAGAGTCCAAACCCATGTAGGTGCAAGCATCCAGGGGTGGGCTCACATGAGTGGCTAGGAGGTGCTCAGCAGTCTCCACAGAGAAGAAGACAACCCCAGAGACCTGAAGAGAACCCACAAGGCTCAAGTGGGGTACCCTAGGGCAAGACTCAGACATGAATTGAGGAGGGCACATGTGGATGAACCAAATGAGGCTTGGTGCCATATCAGGCAGAGCCACCCCAGCACCAACTCTAGGCTCACCTGGGTTAGCGCCTACCAAGTCACCTTATGGGATCCCCATCAACTTTCAGATCGCCTGCCAAACCCAGTTCCAGACCCTTTCCCAATACCCCCATCCTTGTTCATTCTGGAAGAATCCTCTGAGCCTGTTTCTGTATCTCTTCCTAACTGCATGCCCTGACTTGCTCATATCTGGAAGCCTTCTGGCTCAGGACAAGACCCTAAATTTCAAGTCTACCTACTCCACAGAGTCTAGCTCTATATGCTGCCCTGAATGTCAGATTTTTTCAGGTTCTGGTTCTAGCTTGGTTTGAAACCACCTAGAAAGAATGGCGCTCTTTCCCAGAAAGGAAAACTGTCCCTCCCTCACCCCCAAAAGTCCTCAAAGACCCAACCCAAGCCCAGCAGTCATACCAATGGCACCTGTCCATCAGGCCGGACACACTGTTGTATCTTTTCCATTGATCCCTGGTAGTAAATGTCCAAAACAAAGCCCTGTGTGTAGAGAGGACCAGACTCAGGAAAGGGAGCAAGAGAGGACCAGAAGGTAGGCACAGTGTGTCAGCAAATGTTAGACCAAGTGAGAAGACCAAATGTTCTCACCAAGTGAGAAGAGCCAAATCTGGTAGGTACCAGTGTATTCATGGGGACACAAGCACCACAGACTTCTACCCTCACAGGGTGGAGGGCAGGCTTTAAGCACCATCACAGTCTCAGAGCCAGAGCACAGAGCCTGACATGCAGAGACAAGTGAGCATCAGAGCTGTTGCCATGGAGGAATCTCCTCAGGCTGAAGACCACATAGAAAATCCAGGACAACAGGTTTTCCAGAGCACAGGACAGGAAAACCACCAGGTTCAGCTGTCCCCTGGGTAATACCTGCGAGTCAGTGAGGTAGACACCATGATTCAAAGCATAGACTGGGCTCCCAGGAAAAGCGATCACTCTGGCTCCTCGGAAGTCATCCCAGCTGATCCCTACAGGGTGGCAGTCAGGGTGGCAAGGCAGGAAGCCCTAGCCATGGGCAAGCAAGAGCCCAGAGCTGGGGCACCTGGGCAGCTTTAAAAGGGAAATATAGAATCCAAGGCCAAATGGAAAATTTCCTAAAAAACAACAATGCTTCCTCCCCTAAAGTTCTTTCACAAAGCACCATGGGCCAAAGGAGTGGGGTCATTACAGCCATTCTTGATTTTGGTTTTGTTTTTTGGCTTTTTGTTTTTTCTATTTTTCCGGGGTGGATGGGATAGATGGGTTGATTGGCTGATTAGTTTGAGACAGGGTCTCAGTCTGTCGATGAGGCTAGTCTATAACTCACTGCAACTCAAACTCATTGCAATCTTCCTGCCTCACTGTCCTGAGTGTGGAACTGCCACAACCAGCCATCTGTTCTATAGACAGGCACACTGAGGCCCAATAGGGCAAGGCTAGCCTCTTGGTCTGGCCTATGCTTCCTTTCTAACAGTTGCTAAGCCAGGGTGGGTGGGCTAAAGAGGCAGAGACAGCCTTAAGTGTGAGGAGGGCTGGTGGTCCCAGGCCATCCCAGGCCATCTGAGGCTTACCAGGGTTTGGAGGAACAGACAGAAGCATGTCGGTGCTGCAGACCCACACACCTGGTGGAGAACCTGGACCCAGCTGCAGGGATCAGAGGACAGAGAAAGAACGATAACATAGCTAAAAGCTGGGCAGCCCTTCCTCTGCTCTCTCACCCATGCTGGCTTCCTCTGTGTGCTCTTGCAGACACTTAATCTGAGGGGACTCTGCTGCACAAGTATCAGGGTCTCAAAGAGCCACAATATCAATGATGACCCCCTGCCCACCCCACCTGGTGCCACACCTTCCCCAAAACTAACTTCTTGAAGCTCTAGCTGTGTTTACTACAAACCAGTCTTTCCAGAGTCCCCCATTTAAGATGTAGAGACCCTCACTGGTAGCTCAGGTGCAAACAGGTTCTATCTAGGATGGCATCCTTGCCAACTGTCTGGCCTCACCCGGTAGGTCATGATGTCCAACAAACAGTCCAGGTTGCACACCAAGGCCTCCACAGGGGCCTGCAGATTCTCCACAGGGAGGCAGGTGAAGGCCCTGCCACAGTCATCAAAGGGGAAGTCACGGCCCTGGGGAGGGAGCAGAAACTGGGGAGGGAGTCCTTGAGGCAGAGAAGCTGGGACACTACTAGCTGTGTGAGGGTGGCAGACATCAAGTAAAGGATGTTAAAAAATATTATCTTGGGGCTAGAGAGATGGCTCAGTGGTTAAGAGCACTGGCTGTTCTTGCAGAGCACCTGGGTTTAGTTCCCAGCACCCATATGCCAGGTAACAACCATCATCCCTAACTCCAGCCCCAGGTGGTCCAACGTCTTCTTCTGGCCTCTGTAGGCATTGCACAACATGGTGCACTTACATACATGCAGGCAAAACACTCATAAACATAATAACATATTATCTTAACATTCCTTCTTTCAGTTTTTACAATTAACATGATTACTTGGAAAATTAGAAAGCATACATATGCAAAAGAAATCCCACATCCCACAGAAAAACGAACTACTGCCCTCATTCTGAGGCACATCCTATTAGATTTTCATTCATACATCCTATCAGATTTTCATTCATACATCCTATCAGATTTTCATTCATACTTTTTTGTACATTTTATTTTCTGTGTGTATGTATTTGTGTGTTCGTGCATGTGTGTATGTTCATGCATGCATGACACAGCCCAAATAATGGAGATCAGAGGACAACTTACAGAGGTCAGTTCTCTCCTTCTACCACGTGGGTCTGGGGGATCAAATTCAGGTTGGCAGGCTTGGCAGCAGACACCTTTATCCCCTGAGCCATCTCACTGGCCCTCCATTCATACTTTCTCTAAATTTTGCTTTTTAACAAACATAAGCTCAATGGGCTGGAGATGCGGTTCAGTTTGTAGAGTGATTACCTAGCATGCATGAAGCCTTAAGTTCAAACGCCAGCATTACATAAACCAGGTATATATCTCAATACTTGGGAGATAAGGGGCAGGAGAATCAGAAGTTCAAGTCTGTCCTCAGTTCCATAGTAAGTCTGAAGGCAGCCTGAGCTACCTGAAGCTCTGTCCTTTTATTTATTTATTTTTTTAACGTAAATATGTATGTGCCTGCCTGTCTGTATGTATAACACATGGGTGCAGGTGCCTGTGGAAGCCAGAAGAGGGTGTCAAGTCCCCTGGAACTGGAGTTACAGGTGGTTGTGAGTGGCCTAATGTGGGTCCTGAGAATGGAACTCAGGGTTTCTGTGAGAGCAGCAAGCACTCTTAACCACTAAGCCATCTCTCCAGCCCCATGAGGTCTTGTCTTAAAAAAAGATATAATAATGGGGTCTAGGCCAGCAAAAGTGCTACCTTACCTGAGTTAAGATTCCCAGAACCCACATGGTAGAAGGTGAGAACTGACTCCTACAAGTTGTCCTCTGACCTCCACACACATACACAAACACAAATAAATAAACAGATAAATAAATTTAAAATGTACTAAAAATTTAAATATATATAATAATAAGCTCAAAAACAACAAAAAAATAGATCATTCTGAAAAGGTAGAAAGGGGAAAGCTTCCATATGGGTTCACAGTGTGTAAAACTGGAAAATAAGATTGGCAACTGTAGTAATGACAATATTCAGTTTCAATTCAATTTCAACTTCAATTCCATTTCAGTTTCAATGATAATAGTATAGTATTCAAAATACACCACTGGGAATATCTTGGCAAAGTCTAAAAAAACTTCTCTCTGGGGTTGGAGAGATGGCTCAGCACTTAAGAGCACTGACTGCTCTTGCAGAAGACTTGGATTCGATTTCCCAGCACCCACATGGCAGCTAACAACCATCCATAATTCCAGTTCCAAGGGTATTTGATGCTCTGCCCTGACCTCCCTCCATGGGTATTGCACAACACGAGTACACTTACATACATACAGGTAATACACTCATACACATAACAATAAATAAAATATTTTTTAAACCTCTGTATTATTTCTTGCATATAGATCTATATCTTAAGATTTTTTTAAATTTTAAGTGTATGAGAGTTTGTCTACCTGTATATGTATGTATGTTATGTGCACCATGTGTGTGTCTGGTGCCTATGGAGGCCAGATGAGGGTATGGGATCCTCTTCAAAGAACAGCAAGTGTTTTTAACCATTGGGCCATCTCTCCAGCCCCTAGATTTATATCTTAATAATTCCAATTACAAAACAGATCTGAGCTACGCATGGTTGCACACACCTGTCATCCCAGCACTAGGGGAGCTGAGGCAGAAAGATCTTGAGTTTGAAGCTAGCCTGGATGACATAAGGAATTCCAGGCCAGGCTGGTCTATATAAGGAGACCTTTTCATGATAGAAAATACACACACACACACACACACACACACACAACTACGCATGGTTGCACACACCTGTCATCCCAGCACTAGGGGAGCTGAGGCAGAAAGATCTTGAGTTTGAAGCTAGCCTGGATGACATAAGGAATTCCAGGCCAGGCTGGTCTATATAAGGAGACCTTTTCATGATAGAAAATACACACACACACACACACACACACACACAAACTGAGCTCTGGCTAGGGATGCATCTCAGTGGTAGAGCACTTGCCTAGCATACACAAGGACCTGGATTTGATCTGAGTACTACAAACAGAATGACACAAACAACTGAAATCATTCTCTACTAACTCCTGTCCCAGCCTTCCCCGCCCCTCATTTTACAATGAAAACACATTTCACTGAGCACTTCAAGTGAGCCAGGCTCCATTTTTGCTTTAAGCATTTAGATGCATCATCTCCACATGTCCATGTCCAACATCTACATCCATGAAGTAGGAACTATTGCTGTCTTTACACATGAAGAAACTGAGGCAATGACTTGCTTAAGTAACAGAGCTGGTAAGTCTCATTTCAAGTCATTGCCTAGAGACAGAATGACATTTTTATTTTGTGGTGTGTGTCGTGTGTGTGTGTGTATTGCATGCATAAGTGTATGCAAGTGAGTGTGCCCATGTGCACACATGCAGAGGCCAGAAGAGGCTATCTGGTGTCTTCCTCTATTCCTCTCCACCTATTCCTTTAAAACAGGGTTGCTCACTAAGCCAGAAGCTTACTGTTTCAGCCAGGCTGGCTGGTCGGTGAATTTTCAAGATCTACCCTTCTCTGTGCCCTAATGCGTGGACTGCAGACACACAAAACCATGCCTCGCTTTTCCATGGTGTTGTAGATTTGAACACAGGTCCTCATGTTTGTACAACAGGAGCTCTAACTCACTAAGTCATCTCGCCAGCACCAGACGAACCTTTTAATCTGTCTAAAATATATATATTTAACCAACTTCCAATTCTCAGACCCTTCAACTGATTCCGATTCCTCTGAATTTGCACAACAAACACCTTGCACACACAATGGTGTGTAAGTCCCATTCAACCCTACGAGCCAAGGTTCTGACCCTCTGCATAGCCTGTGCCCTGAATTCAACTTACCATGTGCAGGATGAGGATCCAGGCTGAGTGCAGGACATCAGACATGACCACCTGTCAGGAGCAGGAGAGCCCTATTGACAAAAGCCTTGGGCAGATGGCATCTAGAGGATGACACCCTCTTGTCCAGGGAGGAACCCCAACATAAATCTACTTAGGTACCAACAACACAAAAAAGCAAGGTCAAGACCAATGGCTGCAGGCAGGCAAGGGACAGCCTGCCAAACAGTCAACCACTGGGCCACCTTATTTGGAGAGGAGGCGGCAGGCAGCAATCTGAGACTGGATGGGTGACGGGGGAAGGCAGGCAGTGCCAGCTACATTGGTAACCACAGCACTTCCATCCCATCCATTTCACCTCCACTGCTAGAGCTTATCTATGCCTGGGACCACCCTCCCTTCCCATGCCCTTGTCACCATGCAGGTGACATGGTGACTAAGTCAGTGGTTGGAAGCATACAGGATACACACAGCTGAGTGGGGACACTAATACAAGTCCTGCCCATTAATATATATCCTGCCCACAGGGGAGCCACATTTTGATTCCAATGAATAAGTGCCTTGTGGGAATGAGAGTACTGATAGCAAGATCTTTGAACTTTTTGTTTTGTTTTGCTTTGTTTTGGAGAAAGGGCCTTGCCATGTAGCCCTGGCTGGCCTGGAGCTTGCTATGTAGACCAGGCTAGTCTTGAACTCACAAAGATCTGCCTGCATCTGTTTCCCAAGTGCTGAGATTATAGGCATGTGCTACTAACACCCAGCAAGATCTTGGAATTTCTCCAAGAAAATTCAGGAAACATCCCATTGAGATACTGAGACAATGGCTCTAACCTTCAAGACAAGGTTCTACCATGTAGCCCTGGTTGGCCTCAAACTTGTGGTGATCCTCCTGCCTCCATCTTTCAAGGGCTGGGATTACAGATATGTGCCACCGTAGCTGGTTTCTGGCTCCTACTTTCTAAAAACACTACAAAGGCCATCCCTGCCTTTTGCTCTTACCTGGATGGCATGACAGAAATTAGTCTGCCCAACTTACAGACTCTAAAACACAAACCAAGGGGTTGGAGAGATGGCTCAGCTATTAAAAGCACTGGCTGTTCTTCCAAAGGACCTGAGTTTAGTTCCCAGCCCCCACCTGGCAGCTAACAACTATCTGTAACTTCAGTTCCAGGGGAGACAACACTCTCTTCTGGTTTCTGCTGGCATTGCACACATGTGGTACACTTACATACATGCAGGCAACAAATTCATATGTATTATATATAAAAATATATAAAAACAATACCTGGGCATAGTGGCACACACCTTTTGTCCCAGCACTAGGGAGGCAGAGGCAGGTGGATCTCTGTCGGTTCAAGGACAGCCTGGTCTACAAAGTAAGTTCCAGGCCAGCTGGGGCTACAGGGAGACCCTGCTTCAAAACGACCAAAAATAAAAAATAAAAATAATAAAGTATTGAAACACCCCCTCCTCCCCCAATGCTGAAACAACTAGAAAAGCTGGTGGTCCTAGAAACTATTAAGTTCCAACAGGAACAGGGGCTAGAGGGGCAGCAACACAGAGGCACTCACAGTAAAGCCTGCGCGGGCACTCAGGTGTTCAGCAGCCACCAGCAGTGCATTGAGGGTGGCTCCTCCACTTCCCACTCGAGTCTTAGGGTCCTCCACAGCCAGTAACAGTGTCCCAGAGGGGATCTGCTCCCGTTTCTGCCGTACCTCCAGCTCTGTGATCAAAATGTATGCTGGGACACACACACCCCTGCCACCTCCCTGCCCTGGTCCAAAGCAACCAGAGCAAGCCTGTTAATAGTTATAATTTGATTATTTCAACAACTTAGCTTTTTATACAGGAGGTAATTAAATCTTTCCCAAGTTCTTAAGGTAAGTATTGTTACTTTTATTTTACAGATAAGAAACTAAAGCATGGGCCGGGTATGGTGGCACATGCCTTTAGTCCCAGCACTTGGGAGAGGCAGGTGGATCTCTGTGAGTTCAAGGCCAGCCTGGTCTACATAGCGAGTTCCAGGACAGCTGGAGCTACAGGGAGACCCTGTCTCAGAAAGACCAAAAAAAGAAAGAAAAGAAACTAAAGCACAATGAAGTGATATGCATGTATGAAGCCATAAGACTAGAAAGAAGTCTGTCTCAACCCAGGTCTGTCAGGCTCCCAGGGCTACAGGAGTCTGGCAAGTGAGAAGGTTGAAAAGTTCTAGTTTATGGGGCTGGAGAGATGGCTCAGTGGTTAAGAACACTAGTTGTTCTTGCAGAAGACCCGGGTTCGAATCCAAGCACCTATATGGCAGCTAACAACTGTCTGTAACTCCAGTTCCAGGGGATCCAACAGCCTCTTCTGTCCTCTATGGGCATTGCACAACACAGGTGCACTTATCCACATGCAGGCAATACAGGCATACACATAAGAATAAATTTTTTTAAAAAGTTACAAAAAGGGCTGGAGAGAACATAAATTAAAAATAAAAATAATAAATAAAATATTTAAAAAAGGAAAGAAAAGTTCTAGTTTAAGGGTAAGATGGGAGAGGGTGTCACCTACCTCTCTGAAAGACCTGGACACTGTCCTTGTACTGGCATGTCAGGATAATGACCGTCCAATGGACCCCATTTGGTTGCTCCATTCTGGCCAGAATGGAGGGGCTTCCTGAGGTAGTAAGATATAGGTGTATGTGAATACTTTTTAATTGTTACACACTAAAATTATTTCTGGTATACAGTTTATTGGTTTTTTTTGTTGTTGTTGTTTTTTGTTTTTGTCTTTTTGAAGCAGGATCTCCCTGTAGCCCCAGCCGTCATGGAACTCACTATGTAGACCAGGCTGGCCTTGAACTCACAGAGATCCACCTGCCTCTGCCTCCCAAGTGCTGGGACTACAGGCATGCACCACCACACCTGGCTATGGTATACAGTTTTATGAATTTTACTACAAGAACAGATTCTTACAGCTACCACCATCTGCACCAACAAAAACGTAAACTCATGCTGTGGATTTTCAGTCAGACCCTCCTCCTCTCCTGACTCAAGCAACAATCTATTCTTCAGAGCAATGGTTTTGTCTTTTTTGAAAATGTCAGAAAAACAGACAGAAGCTGGGGTTGTTTTTGCTGCTTTTTGCATGTTTTCTGAAGTACTGGGAGTTAAATCCAGAACATTATACAAGTCAGGCAAGTGATCTACCCCTGAGCTACACCTGTAGCCTGAACTATAAGCTTTTGGGTGGCGGGCAGGGTCTCCTAGCCCCAGCCTGCCTGGAACTCACTATGTACACCAAGTTGGCCTCAATTTCACAAAGACCCACCTGCCTCTACTTCCTGAATACTGGGATTAAAGGTGTGAGCCACCGTGCCCAGTGTGATTAGAAATTTTTGAGATCAGCTACACTCCTCCAACATAACATCTCTGTGATGTGCACAAATTATTGCACAAAGCAATCACCAGATTCTTTTTCTGTAGAGCAATATTCCCTGATATGGAGGTACCAGGTCTGTTTCTCCCGTCACCCATTGAAGGTAGTTGGGGTATTTTTCAGTTTGGGGCAATTGTGAATAGAGCTGTACAGGTTTGTGTCAACACCAGACTTCACTCTTTAGATGGATACCAGGAGCATGATTGCTAGCTCACATATATGGGAAGTGTGTGATGACTTTCTTGATTTTTGTTGCTGGGTCTTGTTTAATATTTATTATTGTGTGTATGTGTGCATGACATTCATACATGGACACATATGCCACAGAGTATATGTGGAAGTGTTGGGGACCCCTGTTGTGTAAAGTAGCAGTCTCTCCATGTCCGGATAGCCCATGGGCTCGGCTTCATATGCAGAGACTCCTTTTATCAGCAGGGTGCCTTCCCAGCATCTTCCTGACTCATCTTTTGAAGTAGCCGTCACAGAAACATGGCCTCCGGCTCTGAAACTGCCAGGTTTTCCTGTGTGATTTTCAGACAATGTCTGGCAGCCTGGCAGTAGCCCACCACCACATGTAAATGAGGCATCCTAAAAGTACCTATCAGCTAAGGCTTTTACCACTACCCCCACAGTATAAAGTATCCTGGTTTTCCCTCAATAATCGAAGCTGGATCACTAAGGCCTGGAGCTGAGCTGAGTCACAGAATAAAGGGGCTGTACCACTGACTGAGCTGAGTTCTGTGTCTTACTGCCTACGCTCCAGCCTTTCCGGAGAGGGCTATCTCTTCGTAAGCCATGACTCAGGGAAACCCAGCTTTCGCCGTCTCCGCACCTTCCCACGCCATCCGGCAGCTGACGGATCTCGTATCTCGAGGAAGTGCACGGTGGATTGGGACGGAACCAACCGGGCCAGCCCCGGTAGCAAAGCGCCTCAACAACGCGGAGAAGCAGGGACCTGCCTGGGAGCGCAGCGATCAGTAGAGTCGCCAGCACCCAGTAGATGCGGAGACCCACAGCAACGCGGTGCTGGACACACGCGCACCCCAGCAATGCGGTGCATGACCCACCGCACCCCAGCGGCCCGTGGGAGACCGGCGCCACGCCCAGCAGCTGGCGCCCTGAGATCCCCGCACGCCCATATAGAGTCACTAAATTTCTTGCTCTTCACAAGAGGTAAGTTAGGAGATTCAAAAGGGTCTATCTCCATAATTGTTTCAAATAGTCTACACCATGGATTTTCAGTGCTTTCCATGCTATCTGAAGACTCTGAGTTGGAG